AATTCCTGTAGGAGCTGCTGCCAGCAGTTGTCAAACTAGAACACGGCAGTAGCTAGACCAAAGAAAATGGCAGGCTTCCAAAAGTCTGGCAAGAACAACTTGAGGACTAGCCTAATCCTAGTGGATACCACTTTGGCCACAACAATGAATGTCATTAGTTATAACCCAGCAACTTCCTTCTTGTTGAATGAAGGCAGTGTCCTAAGGAAGCAACAGCTACTTCAGATAATTTATCTTAAGAGTAACAGTTAAGAGATTTCTTAAAGGGTGTGCTGTCCTGCTCTGGTACTGTGGCTTCACACTAAAAGAGTTATGTATTTCAGGTCATATCAGTGGGTGAAATATTCACAGTTCCTGAGTATGGAACCTGATTAGATGGAACGGTAAGCGTAACATTTGGTTCTAAATATAAAGGCCAATTAATGTCTTGCTAAAACAAAACAATGCATTTCTGTTCAGAATAAATAGGTAATAACTTTTAAGCTTTTTGTTGCGGGGAGGGAAGAGTGATTTATAGTACAGTACTGCGTGGCAGGCAGATGTAAATGTGTTTACGTGGGAGGAAGAGGCAAAAAGGACTTTAAAATGTGAACAGTACTGCTCATTTTAGATCCAATTCTCTGAATTATCATCCTAGAAGGAACAGAAAGCCAATAGTAATGATAGCAAATGAGAGGTTAAGGGCAGCCTAACATTGCAATTCGTTTTAATTCAACAGGAGAAGAAGTTTCCTACAAATCATGTTCTCATTTTAATGCACACATAGTATACTTTCCAATCAGTGTGTTGCTTTTTAATCATTTTTTTCCTTAAGGATTTTTTTCCCTGTTTACACTGGGTTTTCTCACAGGGAGAAATTGCAGTGTGTTGCTGTCAGAATTTGTCCTGCCTCTGATTCTTAGCCTTCTCTTGAGGCTGAACAAAGCCAGTTCTCTCCTCCTCTCCAGGGAGTAGCACGTGCCACTCCTGGACCACCTTGGCAGCTGTCTGCTGGTCACCTGCTTCAGCATGTCAGCAGCTTTCTTGTGCTAGGAGCTCTAAATAGGACACGGTACTCCACTTCCAGTCTCACAAGTGCTGAAAGCAGAAGGCAGCTTGCTTTCCTGGACCTGCTTGCTGCTCTGATAAGGCTTAGTATGTGGCTGGTTGTGGCCACTGCAGTCACGTTGCTGACTGAAGTTTAAGCTTCCCACCAGGACACACAGGTCCTACTCTGTAAAGCTTTCTCACTGGTTGTCTCCCAGTCCATACTGTTGCATGGAGTTACTTCTGCTGGGATCAAGATTTTACATTTGTGTTTCTTGAACTGAAGGTTTCTGTCAGTCCGTGTGTCCAGCCATGCAGGATTGGTTGTCCTGCACTGGACAGTCTCTGGTAGCATGGGGAGGTGCTCAGGGGCTCCTCTGGCAGCGTGTGCTGTTCGAGCTTGTCCTGTGGCCAAGGGGCTTGGTGGCCCAATGCAGGGAGAGGGCCATGCTGGGCGGCTTGGGTCAGCCATGATGGGCATCACTGACCCCTCAGTGGGTAAAGGTCTGCTGGCCAGGATTGCTGTACTCTCTGTCCTGTCCCTGCCAGTGGGTTGTGCTACCTCTCTGCTGATCGTCTTAGTAGGTTCAGGGAAACAAAAGGCCAGAAAGTAGATCTTAATCAGCAAAAAACAAGGTGAAAAAAACTATTGAGTACTTCAGTCTTTCCCATGTCCTTTGTCAATGGGTCTTCTCTCTCACTGAACAGTGAGCCACGTTTTCCTCAGTCTTCCTCCTGCTCCTGATGGGCTTACAGAAACTCTGTTTGTTGCCCTTCTCATCCCTGTATGCTTCACCACTATCTGTGTATTCCTCCTGAAATTCCATCTGTGTGCTTCCTTTTTCACAGCTCAGTCAGGGGTTGCCTGCTCATCCGTGCTGATATCCAGCCTGGTTTTCTGCACTATCTGGCATTTCTGTGCTTCAAAGAGGTTATCCTGGAAAGCAACCAACTGCCCTGGCCTTTCTGCATACCTGGGCAGCCTCTCATTGGATCCAAGAATATCCCTAAACAAGCTGCCTCCAGATCTCCTGAAGCTCAGAGATCTGTTAACTTGTTCACTTCCCTGAGGATTTAAAACAATGTGGCATCAAGATCACCAGCTAGAACTGCCTTCAACTTTTCCATCCCTAGGTGTTTCTTGTTTATGAGTGTCAGGTCCTGCAGAGATTTTCCTGTCATCCTCTTGTGAATCACCTGCTTCTTGTGGTATCTCTGTTGCTTGTGTAAGTTCTAAGTTATTTAGGAGAAGTACGATATAATAGTTTTTGTATTGTAATATGAGTCACAGTTAATGCTGGCTTTTAAATAGTTTAATACCTTTTACTAAATTGGCACTTTGGATACTGGAAGTACACAACTGGACTGGATAATACTACCTGAAAAACAAAGACTACATACAACCTATTGTTTTGTGGCAGATGAATTTTTTTTTTTTTAAAAAAAGATT